CTACAGAAACACACACATGCCATAAACCGCGTGGATTAATCTAAAAAGGGTCTCCCTGTGCCATTTATTGGTAAATTAATAAACTGTAGAATCATTTGGCTAATAACATCACAGCATAGGAACATAAGATGGCAGATGTGCCGAGTCTGGAAGATCACGTCATCAGTGGGCGGAGCTCTGAAACAAGCATAACTATACCTAAATGTTGGAACCAATAATTTGCTCACCGAGACTGTCGTTTACCTGTGCGCATCCTAGTTGGCGCATCAACCTTTACGTGTTGACGTGACGTATGAATCTGCTCCTTCATTGGTTAGATTTTCCCGGGCTGTAGCCTGATTGGCTAAATGACTGTTGTGTTCACAAATCTGTCAATAGATGGCGCAGGCTTGCAGAATTTGAGAGAAAATAGTGTCCCATAAGCCAGGTGATGAAATCTGATTCTATTGATTTAATATTGACAAAGGCATATAAATTATTACCAAACGGAATCAACACTTGAATGAGGTATCAATGGAAAATAATATAAGATATACTTCTGCCTTAATTGTTTGTACAGGGATATGAAAATATAACAGAATTGCAACAAGGAAGTTTACACGCATGATTTTAGGGAAGATTTAGGTTAACAAATCGCATTATTACATTGGGAAGTTGGAAAAGTTTGTTGAACAGATACATACATAATAGTGAACGAGTGTTAACAGGAACTGAAGAGTATGCTGATTCCTTTAATAATACGTTAAGTTCGTATACCTACGAACACCTTCATGCGTCTATATACACACATAAATGAACAAAATCACAAACTCACGCATGTTAATAATCGTATTTGGTTCTATTTTATTACTAATACATATGATATGCAGCGGCCGACTGTCTATGGGAGCCACTTTCACTTTCATCAATGTGTGTCCACAATATCAGGTGACAAACGAGCTGGGGAATTTGTTTATGTGCTACACGATGTAAATTAATGTAAATTATTCCCAGTGATAATGAATAATTAATCCATGATAAACAAGAAATTATATTAAAAATAATTAACAAGGAGCCACCAAGGAAATACGTGTGCAGTTAAGATTAAATAAAAAGTTAAAATGATCATGATCAAGATTACAGATGTGAGCCCCAGCATAGGACACAACGAGACCTTAACTACATTACTGTATACATTAAGCAGCCAGGTTGATCTCTCACCTATCTCACCTTTCGTTGTGTTTTTTTATGTTCACACTTGTAATCTTAAGCTCATGTTAATTTCAGCATTTTTCTGGTAATATATTTATTTTTTCATATCGTGGTTGAGTCAACACCAGTTGTACGTCATTATCATCACCTGCACCACAGACCATCGTGTGTTCCTCTCCTGGTGTATCAGTTAGACAAAACAATGATCGACTGATGCGACACATGGAGTAGACTCAGTTGTTACAGCTTCAGTGTATTAATAATGCCAACAATAATTAAGATGGAATTCAGACACAAAATGCCACATTGCTGTCAAGAATAATTTATTAGTTATCTGTATAAATAGAAAATATAATTTATGACTGGATGTACAATACTAAATATTGTAAAAACGTTGTTGATTGATAAATCATTAAAGAGTGGTCGAGGGAGTGATCGGTCAGGTTGCAGGTGAGGTATCTACTTGGATTCGTTGGAGTCGAAGTATCTTGGCCTGGGAGGGGCGTAGCGGGGAGCCTCCCGGGACTCGAAGGACTCGAAGGACTCATATGAGTCGGGGTAGCGAGCCTCTCCGTCGTACTTGACATCAGCAATGTACCCTGAGTCACCGTCTACGACGTAGGTCACAGTCTGCAGACGACCGTCGGGAAGCTGCACGTAGTACGACCCCTGGGTGTCGTCACCGTCGCGGGTCTCCTGGTGACCGAAGTCGTTGCCGGAGGAGTCGTCCTTCACGGCGTAGTTGAAGTTGTACTGAGCCTCACTAGACTCATAAGACTCCTCGGAGGAATCCTATGATAGAAGGCAATTATATTTTCATCAGTGACAAGGTTCACCACTAAACCAACGTTGATCATGAGTTATTACCTCCATATTGTCACCATAGTACATGCTATTAATAGTGTTAACATTATACTGAATATTATGTGGAGTTTAGGTATTTATTCAAGTGACGCTAAACAACATTACCCTGAGGTGTTACTCACACGAGGGGCGGCGTAGGAGTAAGTCTCCCGGCTGTCTGCTGCTGACAGGGCGGCCATGGCCAAGACGATCAAGACCTGTGGGCATAATACTTGTATGAATGTAATTACTGGACGTTAAATGAGTACAAACTTCATATCGTATAACTGTTGTATATATGACTATACTGATGAAGGTGAAGCAGTATTCACCTTAGTGTTCATGGTGTGTGTTGTGTTGTCACGATGAACTGAATGTCGGTCCCTCAGCCTCTGTTCATTATATACCACCGCGCCAGACCTGGGCCGTCCAGGGTCAAGTTCTTATGTATGTTAGCTAATTTGTGGAGTCTTAACGTGAAGGTCGGATGGCGTAAAGCTGTACTACCGCCAAGGATGATTGAAAAAGTGAAGTCTGTGTGATCAAATACATTCCATACCATAAATTATATAAATCCTCCATTATTTGATATTTCCGCCTGAAGAATGTGAATCTGAATGTGTCGAATCAGGTTATAACTATGTGGGGTATGTTGTGTGCTGCTGGACACAGTCGATGGGTCGTGGTGTTTGCATCTTAAGTTACCTAAACTTATCTCACGTGTGTTTTTGAGATCTAATGTTATTTTAGTTATTAGAAGCTACTCGTCAGGGAAATCTCAGTAGCATATTTTATTTTTATTTACGTTTATTTTGCTTATTTGGATGTTTGTATTATTTTTACGTTTTAGGATTTGTCTTAATGTTTCGTTAGATAGAAGCGACGGACCCTAATATATACAGCACTGAGATATGTAACTGAACTAAACAATCTGATGTTTATCTTAGGAACGAAAAGAAATGGTAATGCATCCTCTTTTATGATGGCATCTAGTTCAACTTACAGACAGATTTAATTTATTGATACGTTTATTGAGATGAAAAATACATCTTAAAGGGATAAAGTGACATAAGGTATCTCCACCTTTATCCACGAATGTCCCTCTTACGGTACATCAGCATAAGGGTGGTCTTATGTACTCCAAGGTAATCAAACCTGAGTCACAGTTAGAGTGTGTTTGAGTGCGTGAGAGAGAGTACAGGAGAGAGACACACAACAAAGCAGAGAATCATAACACCAATCCGAATCTTAGTAACTATGAGAGATAGAAGCAATCATAATTACTTCCTTAATCACTAATTTCCCCTCTGAGTTAAGACTAACACTAAAAATTGGTTAGGTTAGGTTAGGTTAGGTTAGGTTTGAGTCACTGAGGATGGTGTTTCTGCAGTGATTAGCTTACATGAGGAAATTAGTATTTTCTAATTTAGTGAGTCAAGGACAAATATATCTCAAGAGCCCCTGTCGTAACACCATATGAACGAGATCATTTATATACACAGATCTGACCGAGGCTCCTTGATGCATGTTCACTGTTGGTTAGTTTTAAAGCATTATTCCTTAAGCTCGTCTATATATCATGCCCAATATGGCTGGGAACATTAACCATGGCTGTCAACTATAATAGGGCTGATAGTGATAGAATATACTTTTTGTAGTCAATGCCATTTTAGTTTTGACTTTCGCCTCCTGTAGGAATGAAATCAAGCATAATTTAGGAATGGAATCAGGTATAATTTAGGAATTGAATCAAGTATAATTTAGGAATAGAATCAGGTATAATTTAGGAATGGAATCAAGTAAAATTTAGGAATAGAACCAAGTATAATTTAGGAATAGAATCAAGTATAATTTAGGAATAGAATCAAGTATAATTTAGGAATAGAATCAAGTATAATTTAGGAATAGAATCAAGTATAATTTAGGAATGGAATCAAGTATAATTTAGGAATAGAATCAAGTATAATTTAGGAATAGAATCAAGTATAATTTAACTACAGTGATGTATTTTGAATCTATCATCTATTGGTTGTCAAGTTTCTATTGATTTAAGGGGAGATTATATGTGTATTGTAGGTACTGTTAAATTTTATAATAGAAAATGAGGTGTGTAGCCAAGAGGATGTACACAGGGGTAGCAATATCTTCATGTACACATCATCACTACACTATTATGTACACATCACCACCAACACTCATGTACACACCATACACCAACACTCATGTACACAACATCACGGTGTCGCCTCAGAGTAGATAATATGACCAATAAATATAAAATCATCACTTAATCTCTATACCCTTGACCACACGTCAAGTCACACCAGGATGTATGAATCAAAATATATATTACATTATTATTTTTTTTTATCTTTTTTGGACGATGATTTTGAACACGGTCACTGTAACGAGGTCAAGGCCAGGTAGGTGGTCTGTGTGAGGTGAACAAGGTGAACAGGATGAACAGGGTGGGGCAAGTCTACCTGGTGTTCTCCCTCATTAACCTCACCTGTTTTACATCTATCGCCAGGAAAGGTTTTGTTTATCATTATTTGGAAACACGAGAACATTACAGGAGTATGTATGAACACTTGATAGTATGGTGCTTCTTATGCATCTGATTTGCATGTGTGTGTGTGTGTGTTGTGTGCGTGTGTTGTGTGTGTGTGTGTGTGTCAGTCGAACAACACTACTGACCTCCCGCTGAGTCACATACACGTGCTGGCAGGAATTTATTATATGCTTTAAAATACCATCGTAAGAACTGTCTTAGAGGTACGAGAAAACAAAATGCAAATCTAATTCACCGTGAAAGTGGGTCTCATAATACTGGTGATGTGTGAGGGTGCGAGTACAGTACCGTGTGGCTGGTACTGAACTAGCCCGGGTTCAGTCCCCTAAATGAAAGTTAAGCAACCATTCGGGGCAGCGTAGACAAGGGGTGACCCAGGTAAGACTAAAGTATGTTGAATGCAGAATAATTTATTCAAATAAATATTTATATACAGTAAATGATGTTATTCAGTTTGCACTGTGTATAAAATACAACACAGTCGCCATGGTTCGTCAGGAGGGTGTTGGACACACCTGTAGGTGATCACTCAGGTAATTATTTGGATTCGTTGGAGTCGAAGTATCTTGGCCTGGGAGGGGCGTAGCGGGGAGCCTCCCGGGACTCGAAGGACTCGAAGGACTCATATGAGTCGGGGTAGCGAGCCTCTCCGTCGTACTTGACATCAGCAATGTAGCCTGAGTCACCGTCCACGACGTAGTTCACAGTCTGCAGACGACCGTCGGGAAGGTGCACGTAGTACGACCCCTGGGTGTCGTCACCGTCGCGGGTCTCCTGGTGACCGAAGTCGTTGCCAGAGGAGTCGTCCTTCACGGCGTAGTTGAAGTTGTACTGAGCCTCACCAGATTCATAAGACTCAAAAGACTCAGAGGAGGAACGCTTGAAAAATAATCAAGGAGTTGGTTGCAGTTAGTATAATAATCAAGAATATTGTCTGTTGTCCAGATGAATATTTCTCTTACGGGTAAAAAAAAATAATTGGGGAACTAAAGCAGTTACCTAAGTTGACGATAACTGATTATTATTGAGAAGGTTCTCTGATATATCAACACTGACTTACAAATTATAGAATTTATGGATTAACATGTTGTTGTAGATATAAGTTGTCTACTCACAGTTCAAAGGAAAACTAACAGTAATGTATTTAATATCCTATTAATAGTTCTCACACTTAGTACAAGTTTATATAGTACTGATACCATGAGTTGTACTCACTCGAGGGGCAGCATACGAGAAGGTTTCCCGGCTGCGGCTGTCTGCTGCCGCCAGAGCTGCCACGCCCAACACGATCAAGATCTGTGGGTATAATATTGAAATAAATCTAATTGCCGTACACTAATATCAATACCTATATGATATACTAATTAGATATACTGTATATACATTCTCATAAGCGTAAGGTTATACTCACCTTAGTGTTCATGGTGTGTGTTGTGTTGTCACAAGGAACTGACTGTCGGTTCCTCTGCCTCTGTCCATTATATACCACCACGCCAGACCTAAGTCGTCCAGGGTCAAGTTCTTATATATGTTAGGAAATTTGTGGAATTCTTACCCTGAAGGTAGGATGAAGTAAAGGTGTGGAAGGGTGATAATTTGTGAAATGCACTCTTAAGTGAGAAGCTGTGCTTATCTTAACCTAGGTGTTGGATGGAATATATTGTCACCATTACTCACATGAAGTTTTGCTCATGAGTCGTGTTCTTCTTTAAGAACAATGTCGTTACTGTCCAGGCAGAAGTCACTGACAGTTCCTGGGGGTAAATACTTATGGTTAACTACTATGGAGAATAATCTTTGTCTGAGGTCGTTTACAAACTCCTGTTGGTGTTGATAAAGGTAACACCCATATTTGTTATTATACAGTCGTGGCTGCTGTAGAAGCTTCATAAAATATCATCATTAGTCAGGTGTGTATAAGGAGACTCAGATTTTGATCATAAAACAGTGTAACAAATGCGTGTTGGTTCACCTGGTGAGGGCGGGGCAGGGAGGGGCGCGGCCAGGGTGTGTTCTTCATTTCCCTCACTGACCTACGTGATGTTTCTCAATGTGATTTAGAAATGTTTTTTTATTTAGGCGTGGGCACCAAACACACACGCAAGCACACACTTCCTAACCATATATGGATGCACCACGAACACCCAAACACAAGTTTGTTAACAGCCTGAACTTCAAGCCCAAATGAAGTGTAGTAACAACACGTAATAGAATACATGTAACGCGTGTGTCAAAGTGTGTGTGTGTATATTGTCACGTGTGTATGTATGTGTATATTGAAATGTGTGTTTGTGTGTGTATGTATTGTCATGTGTGTGTGTGTGTGTGTGAGTGTATATTGACATGTATGTGTATGTGTATGTGTATATTGTCATGTGTGTATGAGTGTGTATATTGCCATATGTGTACTGTATGTATGTATGTGTGTGTGTGTATTGTCATTTGTGTATGTATATGCCTGTATGTGTGTCCTGATCGTTGGGTGAAGAACGAGGAGTAGTCACCGCTCTCCTCACCTCACCGACTTACACAACGTTCACCCTTCTGTCCTTCACCTCCCTCCTTATGTTTTAATTATCATAAAACACTTCATATGGTTGGATAATAAAACAATATACAGAAGCTTCAAAAACTACCGAATGATTCATCGTCACTATCATACCTGCTTAACCCGGATGATGTCCCTCACAGCGGCCGACTATTTGCTGATACAAACCTTCTATTGAAAATGTTTGTGAGTATAAACAACGCAAATTCCTTTACTGGTTAAATGTTCCCGCAGACACTGTGGCTGAATGAATCAACTGTTTATTAAATTACCCAAACCTGACACAAGATCCTCATAAATAACACAACATTGGATTACAATTAATCGTCTTACCTTTCATCAGCTACAAGAAATTAAGAAATTCGTCCATATAGTCCCTGTCATACTGCCACTTGTGTCCACAAACAAAATCTTCAACATATACACTATTTAACTCTTTCACCACCCTTTTGTAATTGATAAAAAATGTTTTGGTCTTCACGAGAGTCAATGGAAACAACAAACATGTCACCTTTTTAGTGGCAAGATATTTTGGCATAAAATCTTTAAATAAAAAAAAAAAGGTTTTCAGATAAGAATTCCTTTTTTGAATTCCGATCAATGACGTTTTCACCGCTTTACGCCATCCAACCTTCAGGTTAAGAATTCACAAGTTAGCTAACATACGTAAGAACTTGACCCTGGACGGCCCAGGGCTGGCGCGGTGGTATAAAATGAACCGCAGCAGAGGAACAGTCAGTCAGTTCCTAGTGACAACACAACAGACAACATGAACACTAAAGTAAGTCTAACTTTACGCTTTTGAGAATGTATATACATTATATTTGATTTGTATATAATGTAGGTATTGCTTTTAATGTATGGCAATTAGATTTATCTCAATGTTATACCCACAGATCTTGATCGTGTTGGGAGTGGCAGCTCTGGCAGCAGCAGACAGCCGCAGCCGGGAAACCTTCTCCTACGCTGCCCCTCGTGTAAGTACAACTTATGGTACTATACGAAATATTGACACAATATAAATTCCATTTTCATTGCTGTGAGATTCTCGTTTGAACTGATTTTAGAAGTTTTCTATTCACATCAACAGTATATAATCAAAACTCATAAGTCGGTTCTGATTTACCAAACTCTTCAACTTCCATAATAACTTAAAAAAACACACAATTATTTTGAGTTAGGAGATACTTGTGCATAAGAAGTTTCCATAATGATTGAAACCTAAATCCTGATTACATTTTTAGAGATACTCCGCTGAGTCTTTCGAGTCTGGTGAGGCTCAGTACAACTTCAACTACGCCGTGAAGGACGACTCCTCCGGCAACGACTTCGGTCACCAGGAGACTCGCGACGGTGACGACACCCAGGGGTCGTACTACGTACATCTTCCCGACGGTCGTCTGCAGACTGTGACCTACGTTGTTGATGGTGACTCAGGCTACATTGCTGACGTCAAGTACGACGGAGAGGCTCGTTACCCTGACTCATACGAGTCCTTCGAGTCCTTCGAGTCCCGGGAGGCTCCCCGCTACGCCCCTCCCAGGCCAAGATACTTCGACTCCAACGAGTCCAAATAATTACCTGAGTGATCACCTATAGGTGTGCCCAACACCCTCCTGACGAACCATAGTGGCTGTGTTGTATTACTGCAAATGCATCCTTGTCAATATTATATATACATATTTATGTAAATAAATTATTCTGCAATCAACATACTTTGATGATTTTCCCACTTACGATATACCTCGAACATGTGAATCAAGAGATTTACAAAAATGAACAGCGGCAGAGGGATGGGCAGTTAGTTTCTCGTGACAACACAACACACACCATGAACATTAAGGTGAATATAACCTTTTATTAGTGATATTTTATATTAAAACACTGTAGGCAAATAATAATACCCACTTTTGTATTCCATTCACAAAAAGAAAATTGCACTTACAGATCTTGATCGTGCTGGGCGTGGCAGCCCTGGCAGCAGCAGACAGCCCCAGCCGGGAAACCTTCTCTTATGCTGCCCCTCGTGTGAGTACATATTATGGGACTGCGTCTATATTATGATTGGTTATTTCATGAATCTAAAATTCAGAAACTGTTCCATATACTGTAACTTCCATGATGGTTTTCTTTGGATTGAGATGAGTTATTTAATGTACCAAGTACAGTACATAAAAATACTCGTTAAAACTTAGGCTGTAGTTGGGATATTATGTAATGCTCAAATTTAAAAACAAATATTCTTGTATAAGTTTAAGTCTCTAGTTAATTTAGTCACAAATATTTATATTATGTATACAAAGGTTATCATGATAAAAATACGTAGGAGTAAAGATTTACATATATGCTAACGGTGCACAATAATTATAAGAGTTTTTCACTTTCATGTTATCTGCTGGAGTCTTTTGAGTTCAGAGGTCTGGCAGAATCAATCACGTGAAGGACGACTTCTCCGGAACGACTCTCGGGCACCAAGAGATTCCGGATGGTGACAACACCCAGGGTTGCACCGCTGTGCACTTTCCCGACGGTCGTCTCGTAGATCGTGACTCCATGTCGTGACGGTGACTCAGGCCACATTGCTGATATGTCAAGTAATACGATGAGAGTTCGCCATCTCCTGACTCATGAGTCTCGAGTCCCGGGAGGCTCCTCACACGCCTCTTCAAGAGGCCAAGAAAGATACTTGACTTAACGAGTCCAAGTAATCACTACACTCAGAATTTCAGACTGTTCAGTGTTCACTCTCCTCGACCACCGTTAATCTACCCAGAAATGGTTTATTCGTCAAATAGGTTTTACAATATTTTATATTGTACATCCACTTATAAATTATGATATTTATTTACAAGGATAACTAATAAATTATATTGATGGCAATGAGGTAGTTTCGTTTATGGATCCGTTTTCAAACCAAAACGAATTTGAGTGTCAAACAAATGTCCTGAATTCACACGAACAAACAAGGTTTTTGGTTCTTCATTCACCGTAAGACACACTGAGAAGATGATCCTATAGTCATTGCGGGAGTCCAACATGAGTAAGATCGGGACTCCGCTTCTTTACCTTCCTTTATGTTGGTTAGAGAAGCAAGTGACACTGCTGACATTCTATTGGAAATACTTATTTTCATCTTTCACTTCTGCATGAATGAGGGGAGATCGATACATAGAAACATCAAATTGTTACATGAAGTTTATAGGAGAGCCTGCTCCTCCCGTGATATATAATCACACTTGGATATGTGGCGACTGCCATAGTCTCTGGTTTGTTCAGGAAGACTCAGCAACACTGGATCGAAGAACAATAAGGTGTTGTGAGTATCAACACCTTTGCCAATTTTCCAGACTGATGTTTATGTGATACCAAAGAGTCGTCACAACAGCTTGTTTCCCAAACTGTTTCTTCATACCACCATGCATGTAATTTATGTAATAAAAAGCGGTTGTCATAATGATCAGCATTACGGTTGAATTTAACTATTAGATGATTATTACTCTATTAATAATGTGGAAGAAATTATTTACTAGACGAGTTTTTACTTCAAAACCATCATAACTCTTGCGATTACAACGCCTTACTGATGATAATGAACGTGATTCTTTTTCATAACAGGAGTGATAATGGAATCCTGTGGTCTATAATGGTTGGTGTGGATGATGGCATGCAGGGAGCAGCAGCTGGTCAGCATTACAATTACCGGTGTTAGACTTGAACCAGGTACTGATTACAGGAGACTAGGCTGTATCCACTTCGACCACTGCATCCTTGTTTGTTTCGAACAGACGAGAGTAACATCACACCTTTACGGAAGTATGTGTGTGTGTGTGTGTGCGTGTGTGTGGTCTGTATGTGGCTGGATGTGACATTTCTTAATATAAACGTTTAACGTGACGTGAACTGTTTGGGACTGGTAATATGAAGAGCATATAAAATACCCATCATAATCGGAAAGCAGTGTGACTGGCTCTCAACATCACTCGCCTTCTACTTTGCCTAATAAGACAGCTGGCATAGTAGACATTCACAGGTTGGTGTGCTGGGCTGCGCATGACAAAACAGTGACTATTAAGAAGGAACACTTACACCTACCATTAATTGCCTTGTTATATATCCGTAAATATTTTGTAAACTTTGGATTCACATGTCTGGAGGTATAACATAAATGGAAAAATCATCAAAGCATGTTGATTAAGAATAATTATTTACATAAATATGCATATATATATTGACAAGGATGCATTTGCAGTAATACAACACAAGCCACTATGGTTCGTCAGAGGGTGTTGGGCATAACGTAGGCATCACTCAGGTAACATTTGGACTCGTTGAGTCGAAGTATCTTGGCCCGAGGGCGTAGCGGAGCCCGGGACCCGGAAGGACTGAAGGACCTGTATGAGTCGGCAGCGAGCCTCTCCGTCGTACTTGACATCACAATGTAGTCGAGTCACCGTCTACGACGTAGGTCAGCAGTCTGCAGACGACCGTCGTAAAAGATGCATGTAGTACGACTCGGGTGTTGCCACTACCGCGTCTCCTGGTGACCGAAGTTGCTGCTGAGGAGTCTCACGGCGAAGTTGAAGCATACGAGCCTCACTAGACTCTGGGAAAAGATCTGAAGTGATATCTCTAAAAATGTAATCCGGATTTAAGTTTCAATCATTATGAAACTTTATGCAATAAGCATTCCTAACACAAATAATCAGTGTTTTTGGTTATTATGAATTTGAAGAGTTTGATAAATCAGAAACTGATTTATGAGTTTTGGATTATATATTACATGGAATAGAAAACTTCTAAAACTGTTCAAACGAGAATCTCAGCAATGAAATGAATTTATATTTGTGTCAATATTTCGTATAGCACGTGGTTGTACTTCCTGCTAATGAGGCAGCGTAGGAGTAGGTTGGTTTCTGGCTATGGTGGCTGTCTGTTGCCGCCAGAGCTGCCACTCCCAACACGATCAAGATCTGTGGGTATAACATTGAGATAAATCTAATTGCCATACATTAAAAATAATACCACATTATATACAAATCAAATATAATGTATATACATTCTTGCTGGGCGTAAAGCCAGACTTTACTTAGTGTTCGGTGTTGTCTGTTGTGTTGTCACCAGAACTGGATCGATCAGTCTTCCGCTGCGGTTCATTATATACCATCGCGCCAGACCTGGGCCGTCCAGGTCAAGTTCTTATATTGCGTTTGCTAATTCAGAATTTTTTACCCTGGAAGATGAAGTAAAGATGTGGAGCGTCGGCGATGTGAACTTGACCTGAC